TACAAAAAAAATGGTGCCTAAGCTTCTCAACGCCTTCGCATGTAGTATTTATCTATCACTTCTAGAAGAAATATTAAAAAATGATATCTTTCAAAAGCAAAATGAAAGCATTAACTGAAAAATAAAAAAGAGATAGGATGGGATGTAACAAACCTCCAGGTCGTAAAACATAGGCATATTCTGCTAACAGCCCAGGCGTCACAATTCGCCACTTATGCTTCTTGTTTTTGAAATGGGGATCAGGAAACAGAAAGAAGATTTTTGATAGTTGATGTTTGTGGAAGTAGTTCGGTAGATACTTCATGGCGTTTGATCTCAAACATGCAACATTGCGATAGCCATTGCTCTCTGCTGACCGTATTCGCAATGCTTTTATCTTCTCTTGTACGAAATCTGAAACCTGCACAGCAATCACCTTCAATAATAGATCAGAATAATAACAACAACTCACCTTCACCCGAATTTCAAGGCCAACCATCAAAATATCAGGAAACATTGGTGACAGTTTCATTAATAGCCCGCCATAACCACAACCGATATCAGCGAACTCAACTTGCCTTCCCTCAGCATAGTCTCCATACAGCTTCGTCCAGTCCATGCTTAATATCATGATCTACAGAAAAGAAGATTTGCTAAATCAACACTTACTCGTCAGGAGTTCTCGGATAATCTATGTCATGATCGGAATGAGGATTAGAATGAGCTCGCTGCCTAAATATATACATCAGGAATTTTGAGAAAGCACGAGAAGAAAGATAGAAGATGTAATAAATTCATATAGCTTTCGAAGATTAGTTTTCTTAAAGGTGTTTTTCCCTAATTTTCCAAAATATCTGCGAATCCTGATTTTTATGTCACAAGTTAGCATTCCTATATGTAATGTAAAATAGATGATGTTCTTCAATCTGAACAAATGGCGAATAACAAGCACAATCAAATCAAAGAACACGTTTCACGTTTTAAAGATACAAAAAAGGGTACCGGTAAAATTTCTTCTGCGGCAAGTCTGGGACCGTATCCTTGGAAACACCAGCGTCTGATGTTCGCTGATCCATTTCCATCTCTCCTGTTAACAAAACGGAATAATTGGTCGAAAAACCGCAATAATAAAAATTATGATTAACCATGACCCTGGGGAAGATAAGATATTGGAAATACCGTAAGAAATAAGCCTAAAACAAAAAGACGTCCATATTTATTCTAAAAAGATTATTCAGCAAGAATACAGAAAAAGGAACAGAATGCTCATGGACCCTGTAACTTGACAAGTGAAGCTAAATCAAATATAAATGTACATAAACGAAGAACGTGAGGGAACTGTGGGGCCCAGTTTCAAGAAAAACAATGATTCACTGGGGAGCGCAAAACAAAGCAATCAATAAATGAAAAGAAAGATTTACTTCATTACAACCCATTGTTTCTGTCCCGGGCAGCGCACTACAATATGACCATGTTCACCGTATCGTATTGGTGGTATGAATGGTTTTTTGACGTCTGATTTCAGGCTAAAAAGAAAGTAAGGATCGTTGTTTAAAAAAAAGAATTGATACAAACAGAATGAGAGAAAACGTTTCAAGAAAAGCACCTTTCTTCCAGACGCTTCAGCGTCGAAGCAGACGGGTAAAAGATCTCTTCCGGATCCAAATCGTACCAAGTAAACTCTTCAGGCTGAAAGCAAAACTTCAACTGAGCGGTTTAGTACGCATGCTCACAGATTCTCTCAGTTCCTCGCTTGAGCGATAGCTTGGGCACTCTTGGGCACCTCTTACACAGTAGTATGTTAGACAGAGCAGCAAGAGCACTTAAGCCAAAGTTGCAGCTACATGGTGCCAATGCTAACAACTCCTCTAATCATGTATGACTAACACTCCTTTGATACTATATGACTCGCAAAAAGTCGTTGAAGAAAAAGAAAAATGCGCTCTTTTATTTTTTCTGGGCAATCAATTAAATGTTCAGAAATCTAGAAGAAGTAAATCTTCACACAATGATAGCTGCATGATTATCAAGATAAGCTCAAATGTGTTCTTCACCTTTCCACCTGAATTGATGATTGTTCCTTCAGGAAGGTCAGTGAACTTGATAGTAGCAAGACAGTCTCTGTTCGTACATTCAATGATATTTCGACCATCCAATCGGCCCGTATTAACAACACGCACACGTTTGCAGCAGCAATGTTGACAGGAGATTCCCAGATATGCATAGGGATTTCCAGGAGAATTAGTGGCGGAGCGCGAGTTCTGATAGTAAAAATATTGGAAAGAAAAGATTATATTTGAAACATTTATTGGGTAAAATGCAAACACCGAGAAAGACTTACAGTAGATGCTCTCGACTTTGTTTTTTTATTTTTCGAATTAGTATGTTCGTTAACAGGCGCTTTACTAGTCGATGGCGTCATTGCAGAAGGCGACGGCTTTGTTAGAAGCTCAAGCAGAAGATGTTCTGAAAACTGCAGAAATTTATTCCTGCTCGACTTCTAGGATTAGTTTTTGTGGCTGCACCATGCGGAAGGAATATGGTTATCGTGACATGCCGAATAACCACTGAACCATTTTCAAACAGTATTATAATCCTAGCCTCTTATCGTCTACCTATCGCAAATTTACAGGATGGCCGCGGTCGTAATCATTGCAGAAAAACTCCTAAACGATTCCAGCAAAATCCAAATTTTCAAATTCTGGGGCATTAAAAATGGAGTCACAAGCGATGTATTAGAAGCTATTGAAAATAATTGTCCATCACTGGTGCCAGAGTCACTGTAAACAGTCCGGGACGGGAGGATGTGAGAAACACCCAAATGTGGTTAAGATATTTTATGTCTCTTATTACTGTGCGGCATGCAGTAAGGTTCCACGGTGGATAGGCTTGAATTTTTAGAAGTAGACAACAGTCAATTCTTCCGTTTGATGCTGGCTACCGCAACTTTCAGTACTTTACAGGAAAACCGGCGCAAGGCGCGTAAATGCATAATGTTGGTGGGAATGACAAATACGTTATAAGGAAGCGCTTAAGCACGTCAGCAGGATGGCAAGCTAGACACAGCGGGTAGGCGATGTTTAACAAAACTGACCGCGGACAATGTCTTTTTCATAAGCAAAAACAGAGCACTTGAAACCATCAGTATCGGTCGAAGATTTATGTTTACTAACTATTTGCTTCAAGTGGCTCACTTAGAGGCAGCATTTGAGGGAGAGGAGGGAGATGGGGATCATACGTGCGATAATGTGAACATCGGCCCTTCTGGGTGAAGGGGGTCACAACAAACTCTTACCTCTCTA